ATGTGTCATTGTCGAGGTAAAGATCGACTTGAATACGGAGAGCGTAGACTTCAGATTCACCTGTGCTTATGTCACAGCGGTTCGAATCTGTCCGCGGCTGATCCCGCTGAACATTTTGATTCCCCGGTTGATCTCTTCCTCCCTTTTTTATTCACCATTAAACTCGACTATGACGTAGGCGAACTTCTCATATTCCTGTTGATCTTAATGTGTCTCCATAAAGCAATGGGCATGAGATTGAGAAACAGCTAGCCTTTCGTCTCGGACAGCTGCACACGCGTGCCGGTCCTGCCGCTTTCGACTGTGAGTCTCTTCCTAGACTGTCCATTTCATTAAATGCCAATTAAACGAGGGGCGTCTGACAGCATCACCCCTTTCATCTCCACATTTCACAGGGTTATAAAGTGGTCGCCCGTGTGCAGCTCATTACTGTGCACATAAACAACACAACCATTAGGGGTTGTACTGAAGGTTTGGCCACAGACTAGCAATTTCATTCCTGAAAGTATCTGTTTTGCTCTCACGGAGTAAACGGTATCAACCTCTTGTGACTCAGTAGCACGTTCCAACAGGCGATTTGTGCTGTGCTGTCGCAAGTGGATCCGTAGCTTATTGCGCGTAATCTCGCCATAGACTTTTGCAGGTCCAAAAGGCCGATGTGAAGGCAATAAGCGGGTCGTTATGCTTTCGAACAATCTGGTCTAGATACAAGATCTGGATATTGATGCACAGTGCTGACATGAATTGATACTGGTCTTCCTCTATCTTAGAATTTGTTATTCAGCGAAATGTCAATTCGAGCACCTTTGTGTTCAACGTTCGTTGGAATAATACCTCGATGACTGGATCTCTGCAGTGGTCAGTGCATTTCCTACTTATACTCTTAGCCGAATGATTACCTTTCCTCCTATGACAATCTTCACTTCCATAATTATCTCAGCAACGTGTGGTTCTAGCAGAGTATGAATTTTTACCATATTGTGTTTAGCCATGTCCATACCTGAGTAGTAAGGCTTCCATCAGCAGTGGTTCGGAAATCTGGACTTCTCCCTAGTCTCATTATATCAGTCGCTACGCATTAACTAGCACTTAGTCATATCCTGTCAGCAGTTTAATCTTCTGGTTTCTGATCGCTTGCTCTTATAATCGGTTCACTCTCATGGAGTCTTATCAGAGGTTTTATATTGTCGTTGCGCAGTGTGAGTCGTCCGTTGAAACCGGAAGGCAGTTCCATTGCTTAATGGGATATTTGGCGTCTTCTCCATCTTCTCCGTTGTCTCTGCTTTCACGCCTCAGACTTCCAAGTGCCAGAAGCAGGTTCTCACCTCTGACTTTTCCCACTCCTTTTATCTCCCAACGGCCTTTGCAGCTCCCGATACTGTGGTGATCACCGAGTCAGTGTAGCTTCTATCGCGAATATGCCATGACGGGAAAATCAGAGCTTTACTTGTGACGTGGCCGCAACTTTGATCGAATAATTTCATCGATTATCATCCAAATTGAAATAGTCTCAGTTATTGTGTTTGTGAAATATTTTAATAATAGTACCTTCTTGTTGAACTGCAGATGAAAATTTTGCTCCCAAAACGAAGAACGTGAAAAAGAGTACCACGAAAATATGGATGTTTACTGCTAGCCACTGATTTTGGTCAAAATTTCGATTTATATCGATTTTGTTCTTCCCTTTTGTTCACGAGCGGTCTCGGCAGTCAAATATTTACCGTATCGAAACCCATTCGAGAGCCCAGTGATATCACTAACAGTATATGTTTGCATAGGGTGATGTCAAAGAGCTGATCTCTAGTTCTAATACCACATCAGGTTTTACTCGATGTTCGATTTCATTGTTTTGTTCTCAAAGTTGTTTTGCCTTGATGATCAATTATAAGTTATGAGGTTTGTGAATTCATTATTCAGCTCAAGAGGTACTCATTCGATCAACAACAAGTTACGGCTCACCTAAGCGTCCGATTTTGCATGAGAACGTCATCATCTAAACATTTTGTAGGTAAAGGACATTGCTATTGGTTGGAACAGACAAATATTGGTTGAATTCCTGTGTCAGAGGAGCGAGTACTTGGTAATGATTTTCGGCAACCAGACATAAGAATCATAGAAACCTCCGCATGACCAGTTGTCCCAATTGGTGGGTAGTAGCACCGCGGCCATCGTGTTTCGAGAATGGAATCGGATTCATTCTGCTTCCTTTCGACTCTGATATTCCCAATATAAAAATTGTTGTTTTTAGCCACTGATGTCAGAAGATCCGCGTATAACAATTTTAATCTTGTCTAGTCGTTATGACAACCATAAATTTCGTTTGTGCGTGAAAGACCAGACCTTACGTCTCTTCAACAAGAGACTTTTTAATCGCATCAGTTCTAAACGATCCACCCTCCTATGTTGTTGCGGTTCATTTGACAATGTGGAGTTTTAACGTTACTCCTTGGAAGTTCAATCGTTCAGTATTTCGAATGGTTACGAAGAATCATAACGAAAATGGGCAGTCTAAGTTTCGTTCCACGTTCTTTTTACAATTCCATGATATGCTTTCACTGATTTCTAATGAACGTCGTTCGAACCGTTGTGCACATATACTTGAGCAAGCCTATCCACAAGGTCTAATAGAGCGTGTATTTCGTCCTGTTTACGTCATTTTGAAATTATGAATTAAATGTTAGCCAAGTTTATCTCGAACACATATCTGCGGATGCTTAATCCGGAATATAAATGATCGATTGGTATAAGGATTACGTGATTTTCAGAGTTGTTAGTGATTATAGTTTGACAAAATATGTGAATGAGTATACTGGGCTTATTTTCGCTGCACATCCTATTGAGATCACATTAAGAAACGATTAATTATTTATTTGATTGATGGATTCAGATTGACTACTTATAAACATTTAGAATTGCTGTGCTGATCACACTTTGTATTCAAGACTGATGTATACTCTCTTAAAAATGTTCTTGCCCATGTCAAATCATCAGATAAGTAACATTTTGGTTAATTTTATTTTTTAAACAGTCAGAGCATCAATTTATTCCAAATATACCTTTATTTATTGATAATTGAGTAAATGATGTTTTTGACCAAGGCCCATCTCTTCAAAACCGGCTCTGACGCTATCCGAATCTCATGTATCGGTGCGAAATGCCTGCTGAAAGTAATATTAATAAGCTCTGATATCACGAGAATTGCAGAAAAATATTTTGCCAGAAGAATATAAGGAAGATAAATGTCTTACGCTGTTTCGGCACCATTTCCTGCGCATCTGGAGTATGTTTTGCGCCTTCTTTCTTCTGCTGCTGCATTTTTAACGCTGAAAACCAAACTTTAATTCGATTTTTATTATTCAGAAAATTAATACCATCTTTGGGTTCGGCAGATACGAATCCGGTTCCCACAACTAGGAATGTGAGGAAAAGAACGATTGTCAGATGCATGTTTTCGACAAGCCACTGATTTTCTGAAATTAGCTCGATTTATATATCAGCTTCATTGGCGCTTGTTGCGTGCCAGTACTATAGTTAAATAAATATATACCGTCTGGTTTTATTCGAGTACCGTGTTAAAACTCGATGACGTTTAGAGGAAGACGTGTTTGCATAACCCGAAACGGCAGAGCTGATCGCTGATTTAGCATCGCGAATCATCCTTTACTCGATAATCAGGTCTGCTTCGAATGCCAGAGACGCCGTCAGCTTTACCCGAAGCAAATAACTTAATGCACATTTATGGCATCAGAACGCGATTGCTCTCTCGATAGGGCATCCAACTTACATAAGCGGTTTGTCCCAGGTTGAAGGCCCTGTCGAATTTTATGTTCTGAGGTAGATAAATGAGTAACACGAATCAGGTGATTGCACTGTACGCTTGCCACATGACTGTAGACACTGCGTTTATAAATATAAGGCATTGCTGACTGATGGCATAGAAACACATATCAGCGAAATGGAATCAACGAAGCAGCTCGCTCATTGTTCTGTTGATGCACCTAAACATGATTCTGTAATTTTTTCTGGCAGTTCGACTTGCTACCAATTTATTTGTTAATGGCATCGAACTTTGGTTTACTGAATTCCTCATAAAACGAGTTAGGAGTTCATGGTCGTTTCTGGGCTATATCGAAGATCCCGTTAATCTCGAGGCCGACTTTGTGTCGCAGCGTCATTGGCCCCTGTAAGCCGAAAGAATAGTCGTCGGTAAACGTTTGAATGCTCCTGATAATATGATAAATTTAGACGATAAGGACAGCGAAACAAATGTTTCAGTTTGCTTTTGCCTTATCTTGGATTATCACTCTGAGTTGGAATTGTTAATTAAAGCTTGTGGCTTTGCTTCTGGAATTCGATGCGTTAAGAAATTTTGAAGTGGTATCGAAAATATCTGTATGGGTTTTTTCTCTCACCGCGTTATGTCTTTAGCATCTGGCAGTTATACGGTTGTCGATTCTTGTTTTGTATTCCTATGTTTAAATGGTGCATAAAAATGGATCAGTAAATCAGTATTTAATATTTAATATTTAATCAGTATTTAACGAATAATTGTGAAGCCTTTTAGGCTTGCGTTTCAGGATCATAATTAATGTTAAATCAGATACGTGCTTGCCGAGTGGCCGAGTCATTTTCTGTCTTGCTTCTCTGAATTGGCTTTACTTAGGCTTAAAGTACATCTGAAACGTTGTTTTCATCAGCCAAAAATATCCATTGATTTTTTTGAATGTGGATATCGTGGTGTTACCTTAGAGCATTTTGCATATTCTGATATCTGACTAGACTTGAGGGTTTGACTGCTTCAGTAACATCACATGATTTTCTTGAAGAATGATTATAACACAAGAAAGAAAGGCATTTATAATTGCGTGGTATAATATGACAGTATGATCAATCTCGATAATTTCAGTAAGGTGTAACAACAGAAGCCAATAAATAAAGAAACAAGTTACCAGGAACACATTGCAGTAGAATGGAACCTATGTTATATGGGCTTTTTTAAATCTCATTGCGGTTGTTCCTCTCAATGAGATTACCTGAAGAGCAGTGGCGTGCTCTAAGAATGAATGAATAGTTAGCTAGTATATATTCTGATTATTGATCATCCTCTGTTCACAGGGCAGATTACACCATAATTGAGTCATGCTTATTTTTTGTAATTACGCGGATAATTGTAACAAATCCTTTCATCCTTGTCTACGACTGCAGTGTTCTAGTAGACAAAACTCGCTTGCAACAGAATGAAGTTATTCAACTCTGATTATTCGCACGGCCTCCATAACGCACCACTGACAGATCTCGATGGCTACCATAGCTGTTTACTACTTAGTGCTCGTAACTGTTGGTCCGTTTTGATATATCGTACTTTAGTTATTGCC